GGAGGCCCCGCGGGGCGCCGCGGAAGCGCGGGGCGGGTCCCTCGGGCCGGGTCGCTGCGCGCGGGAGGCCGCGGATTGGGGCCGGTGGCGCCATCTTGGGAGAGGGTTCCCCGCCCCGCCGGCCTCTCCGCTTGGGAAGGCGCCGGTGCTCAGTGTGACAGGGGTAGCTTATCTCTGGAATGGAACCGTAGCTGGAGGGAGTTTCCCTGCGGAGGGCAAAGGGGTGTGTTCAAGGGCTGCAGCAGAAATACAGGACGGTTTATGGACAGAGTTTGGAAACGTGGAGGCGCATAAGGTGCCCTGGGGCAGGAGGAGCGCGGGCTGGGCCTGGTGGCACCTGTCGTTCTGCATCCTGGGCCGTGCTGGCTCTGCCGGAAGGGTCGTGGGTGGCCTCGGCGCTGAGCGTGAGGGGAAACAGCCGCTTGTTGGAAAGAGGAAAGTCTATGAAGCTGGCTGGTATAAAGGAATTCAACTTTGCTAAAGATCTTTTACAGCATATGTTTATGAAACCGGTAGTGATAATAGATTGGCATAGTGGCACCCCAAGAAGTGATACAGCTGCTGTAGTTTGACATAGAACCATGGGATGGTTTGGGTTGGAAGGGACCTTAAAGATCACTAAGTTCCAGCCCCCCTGCCATGGACAGGGACTCTTCCTACTAGACCAAGTTGCTCCAAGCCCCATCCAACCTGGCCTTGAGCACTTCCAGGGATGGGGCAGCCACAGCTTCTCTGGGCAACCTACTCCAGTGTCTCACCGCCTCACAGTAAAGATTTTCTTCCTAATATGTAACCTACATCTACCCACTTCCAGTTTAAAGCCATTACCCCTTGTCCTATTGATGTCAGAAGAGGCAGGCCAGCCTGACCAACATAAGGGAGTGCTTTTCTGGCCGTATTTTGATGTGGATGTCTGTAGCCACAGGAAATGGGTATCACACTTAGGAGAGAACAAGGAGTAGTTAAGCTTACCAGAAAGGACCCCCTTCTCACAAAAGAACTTGCCAGACAAGTATTTAGATTATAATATTGGTATACTTGAGAGATAAGATGAATTTGCATTTTTAATGTATAAAAAAACCTTGTCTTACATGGAAGATGTGCTTGATTTGTGGCAACCCACTGGACACCCGACTTTGTGCAAACCTGCAATAAAACATTACTTCTTCCTAAGCGTAGTCTCTTTCTCTGTGTTTCTGGAGGTAACTCAAAACACTATTACTATCACTCCATACCCTTGCAAAAAGCCCCTCCCCAGCTTTCCTGTAGCCCCTTCACTACTGGAAGGCTGCCATAAGGTCTCCCCGAGCCTACTTTTCTCCAGGCTGCACAATTCCAACTCTCAGCCTGTCTTCATAGGAGAGGTGCTCCAGCACTTTGGCCATCTTCATGGCCTGCCTCTGGACTCACTCCAACAGCTCCATGTCCTTCCTGTGTTGGGGGCTCCAGAACTGGACACAGCGCTCCAGCTGGGGTCTCACCAAAGTGAAGTGAAAGAGTGGAATCACCTCCCTTAACCTGCTCACTGCAGTTCTTTTGATGCAGCCCAGGACATGATTGGGTTTCTGGGCTGCCCATCACTGCCACATCACTGCCCCATCAACTAGCAATCCCAAATCCTTCTTTTCAGGGCTGTTTTCCATTCATTCTCCACCTGGACTGTGTTTGTGCTGGGGGTTGCCCTGACCAATGTGTAGGACCTTGAACTTGACTTTGACTTCTTGTGATTTACACAAGGCCATTACTCAAGCCTGTCAAAGTCCTCTTCAGCTTGTTGACCACACCACACAGCTTGGTATTGTCAGCAAACTTGCTGACGGTGCACTTGATCCCACTGTCCATGTCACCAACGAAGATGTCAAACAGCACCAGTCCCAATACTGACCATTGAGGATCACCGCTTGTCACTGGTCTCCATTTGAACATGGAGATGTTGCACACTACTCTACTCTTTGAGTGCAACCATCCAGCCCATTCCTTATCCACTGAGTGGTACATCTGTCAAATCATATCTTTCCAATTTAGAGATCAGGATGTTGTGTGGGACAGTGTGTGGGACACTGCAGAAGTCAAGATAGATGACATCAGTTTCTCTTCCCTTTTCCACCAACACTGTGACCCCGCCATAAAAAGCCACCAAATTTGTCATGCATAATTTACCCAAAGTAAAGCCATGTTCGTTGTCACCACATTTTCCATGTGCCTTAGCAAAACCTTCAGGGGGATCTTCTCCATGATTTTGACAGGCACAGCATTGAATCTAACTTTGTACTCTTCCCAGGCTGCCTGTCCTTGCTTCCACCCTCGGTGGACTTACTTTTTACACCTAAGTGTGTCCAGGATTTCCTTGTTCATCCATGTAGGCTTAAACCTGTTTGTCTTCCTTTTTGTTGGAATGAATCACTCCTGATGTGATCTTTGAATATTGACCAGTTTCCACGGGCTTCTCTCCCCTCCTGGGCTTTATCTTATGGTGCACTACCAGGAAGATCCCTAAAAAGGTCAAAGTCTGCTCCCTGAAAGTCCCTGAAAGTTCTACCCTTCTTGTTGCCCTAAGGATCATGAATTCCACCATTTCATGGTCACTGCAGACAAGTCTGTCCTTAAGCTCCATGTTGAACATCCTTGTTAGTGAGAACAAAGTCCAACATAGACACTTGGAAAAGTAGACAGTATTTCTCTTTGGTGGACACACGAAGCTTATTTTTTAATATTCTTATAAGTTTCCTTTCTTTTTTTCTTTTTTCTTTTTTTTTTTTTTTTTAACTTCTTCAGTTGCACTGTCCTTGGGAGATGGTTTATTTCTGTATTTCCATGAAATTTCTGCATTGTCTGCACTGGCTGAAACATTCAGACTGACTGGGTGTGGGAGAAGTTATGACTGGAATTGAAACAGGAGACTCTCATCCCAGATAATCTTCTCCCTTTCATTAACTTCATCTTCACTTTCTGCTGAATTGATTGTCACAGCTGCAGTGGTATTTGGATGAAGTTTTATAATTCACAACAAAGATTGAAAGACAGTGTTTGGGTTTAGAATTTCAAATAATATAGAATATAAAACCATTGTTTTCTTTAAGAGGAAGTAAAATATAAATTAATATATTGTTAGTTCATAGGTAAATAAAAGTTGTCCTTTAGTTAAGATTCATAAGGTATTTTATAAGACATAAGACATATTCAAGAGTTAAATTGCAACTCAGTTAAATATGGAGTATTTAAACATTGGATGTTTAGGTTTTTTTCCAGCCACTCTCTTCACCAGAAGGGTGAAGGGACCAGGCCTTAGGTGAGATGACTGACCATTTAGGGAGCAAGCCTCCTTTTCCTCATCTCACATACTGCAGGCTCCAAGGGCATCTGGAAGCCTCTTTTTTCTTTGATTGATAAAGGACACTGGACAAATGTGGCCAAGATAAAGCTATTTAATCTCTTCCCATGTGATCACAGCCAGCTATGTCCTAAACTTACACAAACTGTTATGGAAAATCATCGTTCTTCTCAGGCATTTTGCTCCCACATCTCCTGTTTCAAAACTTGTTTTCTGTGTTGGTTAGAAATGCTCTTCTCATTTCATGCTTAAATGTATTCATGGTCAATTTATACCTCCTTGTCATTGTGCCAACATTGTCCTTTAATTTAATTAGCTCTCTTTCCTTTCCAATGTTTGCCTTCTAAAATATTGATGGTGATCAGTCATATCACTTCTCAGTCCTCATTGATGGAGACTAAACAAACTCTTCTCACCCAGACAGGTCTCCATTTCCCTGATCATCTTCACAGCCCTTTCTTACCTTTTCTCCAGTTTTGCATTTGTCTCAGGGATAGGTGACCAGACTGTACCCATTATTTCATAAAAGGGACTGTATGACCTGCACGAGGATTACTAACATTTTACCACTGTTAAAAAACTTTTCCATCAGGTTGTCAAATCAGAATTGCCTGCCTTGCAGCTGTGCGGCACTGTGAGCAACTTTTGCAAAGGGTGTTTTAAGCCATCAAGAAGTTCAATACAGAAGCTGAATGTAAGTGATGAAGTAAGTGAATGTTTAAAGGTACATTTTTATTTTCCCAACTTTATTCAAAGGCTTTAGATGTTTCCTGCACCCTGATACTGACTATACCATTAGATAAGACATGTCAGGAACCAGTGCTACACTTAAACCTACCCTTAAAATCCCTGAACTATCTAGTGATGTTTTGGTTACAGGTCAATTTTATTTGCTTTGTGTACATTGTAGTATCATTCATCTTGATGTAGGAGCTGCAAGAGCTTGGATAAAAGGCCTCAACAGACATCTGCTTAAAGGTACTGGCATGCTTTGTTGACAGCTCTGTCATAAGCTTTTAATAAAAATATATTATGCAGACATAGATCC